TACTTAAAACTAGTGTTCTCACAACCTTTTTGAGCCGTGCTACACCGTTTTTATTGGAACACAAATAAACACCTACAGCCATTCTCATCAAAGTGTGTTTTATATAGACTAAGCAAAACAGTCAAAAGGTCTTTCTCAATCTCCACACCAGTAATGTTCCTTTTCTACATTATGTTCGGACCAATGAGGGTGACACCTGAATCATTACGCAAAAACACCACACAAAGACACAACAGTGGCCAAAGCAAAAGGGCGGTATTTGAAAAGAACACTGCACCTTACACATACTCTTCCAAGACAAGCCCTTTTCCCATTCTAGCTTGGAATAAGAGACTCTCTGCGATTAGCATTGGTTGTGAACTAAAATATACTGGCTTCGTGCGCATTATGTGATCAGTATTCGCGGTGGTCCATACTAAAAGCCTGTTGGACTATGTCTTATTAAAATGTTCCTGGTTGCTGGGGTGGGGCATGGGCGTGGAGGACCAGCTGAGCTGCTGTCTTTACAATTTCGGGGACTTGAGCGATCTCGGGATGGAATGCATCTCACGTGCAATGTGACAAGTGGTTCTCATAGTCCTCCCTGCGATGCCCATGGACCAGTCCAGCACCATGAGGGCACGGTGGTGCGATACTTGCGCGTCACCGCCCGGACGAACCACGTACAGCAGGCTCCCTTAGGGCACAGTACTATGACACCATCCCATCAGGATTACGCAGTAACATCGGGCTGCTCTGCCGTGCACTCAACATCCCCTGAAACAACAATCAGAGACCATTAGGTAAGGTAAAGTTTCATTCATGGTGGAACGGATGTGATTCACAACTATGTCAGTCGTTGCTGCGTGATTTGGCCGTAACCCATGGAGGCAAAGGGATCTCAATTTCCTTTGATCAAAAGTACTCACTGCACATTTGACCTTATTGACAGTTTTCCTTTTAAAGGTTTTTATTTAGTAAAAATGTGGAAATAGAATTGGCAAAAAAAATCGATCTACCACCCTATTGACGGCAAGAATGTGCATCTCTTATGTGGGGGGGGTAACGTGGCTTGTCATCTGCCTTATATATTTGGAAATGTTTACGTTACATGCTTGCCACCTGATCCTGTCAGACCTCTCGAACGCTAAGCAGGCGTAACGGGGTTTGGTTAATAACTGAAGATGGCAGAGACCACGGGGAACACCAGTTGCCGGTGGCACGGACTGTGCGTCTTAAACAACAGTGCCAAAGCAGCCACTTGTGTCCCTAGGGAAAAGAACACCCTTCTGCCCACATTACGCGATAGTGTGGAGTCAGGTGAGTCTGGGGCGTTGTGTTGTGTGTGTTAGTGTGACTGTGCATGACTTGTCGAGAGGGGTTGAAATGGATTTTGTGTTGAACACTCTCCTGATCAGTTTCTGTCGCAGGAAGCAAACTATGGCTACAGGCATTCGTTATTATTGCGCATTATATGTGATTGGAGTGAATATGAAATACTGCCATGTGAAAAAGCATCCACTCAAAAACCAAGAATCAAGTTCCGAGGCCATGGATAATGACATCTATACAAGATCAGAGAGATAAGAATCACGTCAGAAGATGAACGTAAGCCACTCCACTTTTCTTTCACACTGGCATAATTTGTCACTAGGGCGTTTTAAATATTTTGCCTTGCACTTACTACCATAAGTATTAGGCGCACACGAAGCTTGCGGCATTCTGGTCGTCACTGCGATTGCGCAGCATGCTTACTAATGGTCCTGGAGAGGCGAGTGTCCTTACTTGAAACGTGTGAGTCTTGGGATGCTTGAGTATTTCCGTAGGTGCTTGAACTCCGTCTCTTTATGTCTCGCATTATCTCACGGCAACATACGTCCTCCGTGTGAAAGCTACTTACCAGGATACACAGCTGCACCCTCGTGCCGCCCGCTGCCGCACTAACCACTGCAGGTCAGAAGATCTCCTCGACCCCGAGGACCGCACTCCCCCAGCAAATCTGTACACAGGAAACAACGCATAATTGGGTTTGTAAATGAGCAAGGAAGACATGAAGCTAGAATAGGGACGTATAATGGACTCTGTAAGCAGTGGATTCTAAATTGAACGTGTCGGGACTGCCACCACAAAAACCTTATAACCCAACTCCCATAGGTCCCCGCAAAGCAAATTAAGAAGATCAATTACACCATACAATATCTCCGTTGTTAAAG